GAGCGTGCAATCACTTATTTTGTTTGACTCAGCAAAACAAAGGCCACGTAAGCTTGGTCAATGGTCAGAGGGATTTAAAATTAATGTTTTATACAAGTGCAAGTGCCTGATTGAAACTATGCGGAGTAGCGGGACCGGGATGTCAAACCCGAATAAGTAAAAGTATCTGCCAGGCAATTCTGCCCTACTAAATTGGGCTCAAATCCCGAAATTGGCTCAAACTTGGCCCCGGGGCCCACGTCTCGAAATCCGGCAAAAGTCACAAAACTAGAAAGCCCATTCACTCACGAGTCTACCCATAACAATTTCATCAAAATCCGACATCATTTGGTCCCTCAAATCCCCAAATTACTCTCTCCAAAATCCCAAGTCCTAACCCCTTATTTCACTTCAAAAATCCTACTAATTAGGTGAGAAATCAACGGGAAAACACCATAGCTAATGATAATAGAGCTCAAGCAACTTACCTCCGTGAAAACCATTGAATCCCCTTCAAAAATCACCCCAAAAGCTCCAAGGTCCAACTTGAAAATGATGGAAATGGGCAAAAATTCGTGAAGTCTTCTATTTATAGGTTCTGCCCAGGCTTTTCGCACATGCGGCTCAATATGCGCACCTGCGGTGCAACTTTTGCGCAAAAATCTCCGACCCATCGTGATAGCGCCTATCGATGATACTAGGCCAGCCGACATTACTAAGACGCTTTCATCAATAACCAGAAATAATCAAAACTCTTAAAATTACTGAAATCTTTGCCATAAAAAGGGTGAACCCCAAAAACATAAGTTCAGAAATAAAGCCTGACATCAGGGTGTCACTAGTCATGAGCATCTAACATAGCCGACCCAAAAGTAACAAGACCTAACATAGTCTGGAATCAAAAATACAGAAAATTAGTATAGATAGGGAAGAAGAAAGCAGGGTTGCGAACGCCGGCAGCTACCTCGCGATCTCCAATGACCAGCTACGAGTACTATTAACAACCTTCGTGTTCAACAGCCCCTAGATTTGCACACGAGGTGCAGGGAGTAACGTGAGTACGCCAACTCAGTAAGTAACTAATAAATAAGGAACTGAAGATAGTGACGAGCTACACAATTTTAGTTCATTTCAATAATTTCATAAAGGAAAATAGTCATGCTTCCCAAGTTCCGGTAATTCAAGTCAAGTCAGTTTATTTCAGGCAAGTTCAAGTAAAACCAGATAAGAATATCTTTCAACAGTTTTCAAAACATGGATATAACGCAACTGTGTGCATTAATAATGTAATCATATACTGCCTCTCAGGCAATCATCTCTCACTCCTCCTAATCACTCCAACCTCACAATCACTCATTCATCCCAGTCACTCATTCCTCACAATCACTCAGCACTCGGCACTCGGCACTCAGTAGGTACCTGCGGTCACTGGGGGTGTACAGACTCCGGAGGGGCTCCTTCAGCCCAAGCGCTATAACAATCCAATCATGGCGTAAACCAATCATGGTGCATTCCCACATGACCGTCACCTAGCATGTGCATCACCTCCAAAATAGTCACAAGACACAATGTCCGGGGTTTCATAACCTCAGGATCAGATTTACAACTGTTACTTACCTCAACCCGAGCAAAATCCTACTCCGCGATGCCTTTTGCCTCTCGAATCGGCCTCCAAACGTCCTGCATCTAGCCAAAAGTAATACAACACAATCAATATATGCCAAAAGAATCAATTCCACAAGAAAACTACTAAATTGGGCTCAAATCCTGAAATTGGCTCAAACCCGGACCCTGGGACCACGTTTCAAAATCCAATAAAAGTCACAAAACTAGAAAGCACATTCACTCACGAGTCTACCCATACCAATTTCATCAAAATCCGACATCATTTGGTCCCTCAAATCCCCAAATTACTCTCCCCAAAATCCCAAGCCCTAACCCCTTATTTCACTTCAAAAATCCTACTAATTAGGTGGGAAATCAACAGGAAAATACCATAGCTAAGGATAATAGAGCTCAAGCAACTTACCTCCGTGAAATTCATTGAATCCCCTTCAAAAATCACCCCAAAAGCTCCAAGGTCCGACTTAAAAATGATGGAAATGAGCAAAAATTCGTGAAGTCTTCTATTTATAGGTTCTGCCCAGGCTTTTCGCACCTGCGGCTCAATATGCGCACCTGCGGTGCCGCTTCTACGCAAAAATATCCGCATCTGCGGAAAACCACTTAAATCCACATCTCCGCACCTGCGCTCTCTACCCGCTTCTGCGACCTCGCAGGTGCGGAAAAGACCTCGCACCTGCGGCCACTGCCAGACCTCCTCTCTTCCGCTTCAGCGGGCAACTACCCGCTTCTGCGGGCTCGCAGATGCGTACGACCAGTCGTACCTGCGGTCTTCCCCAATCCAACACACTTCCACACCTGCATCCATCCCACCGCACCTGCGGCAATACCCTCGCAGGTACAATTACACCAGCAACAAGCCAACTTCAGCAATTCTCCAAACTTCAAACTTGTTCCGTTAACCACCCGAGATCGCCGGGACCTCAACCAAACATGCAAGCAAGTCATATAAACCCATGCCAACTTAGTCAAACCTTCAAATCACTCAAAACACCAAATTACCCTCTGATTCAAGCCTAAGAACTTCTAAACTTCCAAATTCCGCAAATGACGCCGAAACCTATCAAATCACGTCCGAATGACCTTAAATTTTACACACACATCAGAAATGACACCACAAACCTACTCCAACTTCCAGAATTCCATTCCGACCCCGATATCAAAATTTCCACTGCCGATCAAAATTGCTAAAATTCTAACTTTCGCCAATTCAAGCCTAATTCTACCACGGGCTCCCAAATCACATTCCGAACGCTCTCCCACGTCCAAAATCACCTAACGGAGCGAACGGAACCATCAAAATTCAAATCCAAGATCGTTTACGCATAAGTCAACATCCGGTCAACTTTCCCATATGAAACTTTCTCCTAAGAGACTAAGTATCTCAATTTACTCCAAAACCACTCCGGACCTGAACCAACTGACCCGGTAAGACATAATACAGCTGAAGAACACAAATGAAGCAAAAAAAATGGGGAACGGGGCTGTAAATCGCGAAACGACCGTTCGGGTCGTTACAGGGATGCACTAATTTCATGGAAGCCAAAGAAACAAGAAACTGTAGCCAAAGCTCTGCAGAAGTAGAGTTCAGGAGCATGGATTCACCAGTTGCTGAATTTACATGGCTATTCGAGGAGTTAGGTGTGGAGATTGAGTTACCTATAACTCTTAACTGTGACAGTAAAGTTGCTATCCAATTAGCAGCCAACCATATATTTCATGAAAGGACCAAACACTTTGACATTGATTGCCATTTTGTTCGCGGGAAGATAGTGCAAGGTCTGATCAAAACACACCATGTGCCTACCAAAGAGCAGCAGGCTGAGCTCCTAACAAAGAGCCTTGGTCGAGTGTAGCATGACTACTTAATGTCCAAGCTGAGGCTGAAAGATATCTTTCAGCCATCAGCTTGAGGAGGCATGTTGAATCAAGTGCTATTGACAGCTGTGTACAGGTAATGCTATTTAATAAATTAGTAGTGTGATTAGTAAGTAGTTAGGAGGAGTTAGGCAATTAAGTAGTTGGAATAGTATAAAGTGTACAGTAGCTTTCCATTTGTTTGTTGAGAATATAGACATTGTGGAATAGGCTAAACCTCTCTTAATGTCTTTTTGAGCAAGAGCTAAAGTAGCTCCTAATAATACTGTTATTATTCCTATAACCGAGATCAAATACATTATGTAAGGTATAACTCTGAAAAGAGGAGAAGCCGAGCTACAAGAAAAATTCCCGCCGCTACCATAGTAGCAACATGTATAAGAGCCGAAATGGGAGTAGGCCCCTCCATGGCATCAGGTAACCATACATGAAGGGGGAATTGGGCGGATTTAGCAACTGCACCGGCAAATAAGAGAACAGCACAGAGCATAACTGCTCATTTGCTCGCCTCTGCTTCTTCTTCGTCTTAGCTTCCATCGCCATAGCTAGAGTCTAGAGTTCATCAGGTCGTTGATTCGTTGAATGTCCCAACCAAGCATTTGGAGAAAAAGCTTTTGCTGCCTCTGTTTTCGTCACCCCTGTCATTCTTAGTTTGCTCCTGTATCTCAATTGCTGCGATGACCACTGGAGTATTTTTGCTGCATCCAGATATTTCTTTTTTGTACATCTGCGTGAAGTTCTGAAATCTGATGTTGATGCTTAGATACTTTGTTCTCCTAGGTGAATGCTTATATCTAACTTAGACACTTTGTTCTCCCTAGGTGAACGCTTATGAGTCTGACTCCGTGAGAAACATAATTAGAATTGGATTCCATTGTACTGGAAGCATATTCATAACTCTTTTTACACACAGATTATTTGGTTGGAACAAATTGAAACATTTAGTAAAGAGACATAATAACTCGCCATGAAGCATCATCTTTCCTTTAATAATTTTCTGCATTACCTACATCTCTATATTGATCTATAACATGGAGCTCCATGTAGGAGCAGTGGCATATGCAGGAATTTTGAATAAGTGGTGTCAATGTTGAAAGAAATAGGCAAATGAATAAATTACCATACAGGGAAGCAGTGTCAGTTTTATAGTTATACCTAATTTTTATGTTTATTATTTATACATATATATTATTAAAAATTTCGACAAAGCGGTGTCACGTAACACCGGTTGAAACAAGGTGCCTACGCCCCTATGTAAGAGCTTTATCCTAGATCATGTGCTTGTAAACTGACGTTAAATTTTATCAGCTCGAAAAGTTGGGCTAGTTATGGCAATGTGTAACCTGAAGGGCAATCTTCACAACATCTAAAGATAAAGCATGCTAATGCATGTAATATTCTGTCCTAGTAGTTAGGGTACAAGTTGATTTTGCACCAAATGACCATATATATATGAAATTTTCACCTGTAAACTGAATATATAAAATTGTGCATACTGCAACATCATAAGAGCTCAGCAGTGAAAAGATACAAAGGACCCTTTTATTTAAAGAAATACACATCTCCCACACTATATACAGAAAGGAACACTTTCCAAACTTGAAAAAAAACACTCGTCTCCTTGTATCTCTCATAGTGCTTTTACCTCAGTCACTTCTTTTTACAAGACCCTTTGTGCCTTCTCCTTTATCAAGTTCACAGGATTGCCAAAATTTTGGTGCTCCTCACTTGATATAATATTAAAGGTTTACAAATATATGCAAGCAACAATTCAGGATCATCGAACTGAACGAATCAATCTTGACTAACTTCTTTCGGAGCAGAGGTGGTCAACTCTAGGCTACTAAAAGCTGCTTCGATATCTTTGGCTTCAGCAGAATCTGCATATTTAAGGAACTGATCAATATCTGTGCTGCCAGCTCGTCTATGACGATACCATCTTCGATGTGTTTTAGGCCTTCTCTCGCTAATTGCAATAGAGACGTCATTTGGAAAGAGGTCTCTCAGAACAAAGGCATGAATGATGGTTGTCACAAGCAGTGCTGTTACTGTGAGTGTAGAAAGAGTGCAAAGTATGACAACCAGGATTTTGGTCACGACAGTGTTAACCACATTTGAATATCTGATTGTGGCAATAGCAGCTCCGGTCATCGGAAAAGTGTAGGCCCACCAAGCCAATGAAAACCTATAATTACATATTGTACAATAAGTTTTAAGAACAACTCCAAAGATCATGAGGTATTAGATATACAGACACATAGGTACATTAGCATACCTGAAGCCTCGGAAGAAATTAATGCGAACGGCCTGTCAATGAATAAGAAACAAACAATAAAGGAAATCGATCAGCATGCTACCAAAACATCAAAGGTTGAAGCAATTTGAAAATGTTCAAAGACACTTCACTATCTTGTTTGACTTACCAGTGAGAAATAAAGGAATAAGGCAATGAAATATGCAATCCGAGCTCCAAAATCAAAGGACCCTTGAATATTTGCCCATGCCATAGAAGCAACACTTGGGGCAGCAACAAATAGAAAGAACACAGGATGAAGATCCTTTGGCAGTGTCTCATTTGTTGGAAGTCTTTGGTACAGAGTTACAAACAGAACAGTGTAATGAGCTAATCCAACAGCAAAGAAGAAAATGGCCCCTTCTTTTAGCCCCATGGTTGCACCAAGCAAGGAACCAACAAAATTCCCCACAACGGAGAGATGATTTGATGGATTGGCCACCTTTGAGAGCCTTCTTTGACCTCCGGACATCCATTGGCCGTAGATCTTGAGCTCTAAACATAAGAATGGCGTCATAAGGACATACCATAAAGCTTCAGGAAGGTTTTGATAAACTGAAGGTGGAAGTCCAAGTGCTAAGAATAGAAGCGCTATCCATGGAGCAAAGAAGAAGTTAACACGTATGGGGTGGTAGTACTCTCGACGAACTGCCTCAAAGTAGAAAATGATTTTCAGGGCATAAGTGAAAGAGACAATTGCCATCAGGGCAACAGAGATGTACCAGAGAACAAGGTTTACGTCCAAACTTATGTGGAGAAATTTGGTCGTGGCGGATGTGGCCAACGCTTTCCACATTATAGCTTGGCTACTAACACCAAGAATGATACCAAACGAAGAAATAGGGAAACGAAGTAGAAATGGCCATGTCTTGTCATCTGGAAGAACACTTTCCTCAGAAGCCTGTAGAGGAAACAAAGATGCAATATCAGTTCACAATCTTGATTCATTATAATTGTATTGACAAATAAAGATAGAAATAAAAAGAAGTAGCAGGAAACAAGGTTCACAATGTGAAATCAATTCCAAATGATGTATCTAACTTCTTTGCATTAACACCCTTGAGGCTTACATTTAAGTATTTGCTCTTATTTTAGATAAACAAACATATAACAAAATAAGTAGTCACAACAAAGAAAATCAATTGTTGTCCTCTAATAAACATGCAAATTAGACTTAACCAAGTAAATTGATTCCACAACTATAGAGTGGAAAACTAATTGCAGCAGGTGAATAAACTTTACACTTGATTGCAGCCTGGGAAAAGCACTGTGAACTTTCTAATACTTAGATGATCAGATGGTAATAAATAAAAAAGACAATCTTTTAACCGAAAACAATGAAACTCCATCCAGATAACCAAAATAAATGGATAAAAGCATAAAAAAACATACCCTTAGTTTGTCAAGTTCTGGCCCCTCTAAGGCATCAAAATATCGGTCGACAGGAATATTAATTTCCAGTTCAGCACTGTGTTGAGTGTTGGACTCTTGTTCTGTTTCCTGGTTCTTATTTCCGCGCAAATTTGATAATTGTCTCTCAAACCTACCAGAAAATGTTTTGAAACTGTCATATCTTTTATCCTTTAGCTTGCTAATCCTGGGATTCCTAGGAAGTTCGCCGCTTGCAGGAGCTCCAGAGGCTGCAGTTGTACCTGTTGGCATAGGCTGAGAATAAAACCTTGTTTTCCTATTTCCATTGCTACCAGCATCTTTTGATCTAAAAGCAGAATCAGGAGTGTCTTTAGTGTTATCAGTGAAGACAACTTTTTTCGGAGAGGGCGGCATGCTAATGGAGACTGCACGAATTCTGTCAATCTCTCGCTCAGCTGCAAATTCAGATACCTAGAAAGATCATAGGAAAATATTCAGGCCAGTGAAGTGCCACGCTATATGTTAAGATCAAGGTGGTAATAAAGTCAAAACAAACTCAAATTTCATCCAATGATACTTCCTAGTTTGTTCAATGATCAATAACAAACAGAGGAAGATGTTGAAAGTTACAAGATCATAGATGTAACATACTAGTAACCTTTATCCAGAAGTATATTAAAAGCAGTTAGAAATATTAGAATGAATGGGCAACTCAGTGCACAAAGCATCCGGCATTCACGCAGTATTCGGGGAAGGACACCGCACTCAAAGCCTGTGATGTAGGAAGCCTACCCTAATGCAAGCATCATTTGCTGATTCCACGGCTCGAACCCGTAACTTATAGGTCACATGCAGTGGCGGAGGCAGGATTTCTACTAAGGAAGTTCAAAAAAGAAAAAAGTTGAGATTTTGAACCCCCTTGACCATTGAGCTATGCTTTTGGGTTGTGTCAAGGGGATTCAAAATATAATATATAGTGGTACAAACCAAATTTTGCTTTATATATACAGAGTAATATTCCGGCGAATGGGGTTCGGGTGAACACCCTTCCGCCCCCTAAATCCGCCCCTGCTCACATGGAGACAACGTTACCGTTGCTCCAAGGCTCTCCTTTAAAATATTCCAATGAATTTAAAATTCAAACCCCTAGAAAGTATTTCAATCTAATTTTTGGTTTTCAAATTATTTTGTTAGATTATCATTATTCAATCAGGTACAGGGATCTGCTTATCTAATTATCTTGGGCACAAACTTGTAAAAATTGTTGTACTCATAGATATAAGCAAGTCCAGAGCTGAGAAAAAGAAAAGAAAGGAAAAGAATCTGAAAAGTAGTTTTGTGATTATAGTCATGAAAAGTCAGCTTCTATTTAACTTCAACAGCATAATAGAGCTCAAGCTAATAGTACTACGTATCTTAAACCAGCAAAAGGTGCAGAGCCATTCAATCTAAAAGTCTCCAATAAATCAATAAAACTGACGAATACAACATTTATTTAACCACTAACTAACATTATAATAAAAAAGATTACCATAATTGATGAGCTTGGAGAGTGAGATTCAGGTGCTGCAGTCTGATTTTTAATATGGTCATTCACTATACTATCAAAATCGTGATCCATTTCAGAACTTATGAATCTGATGAGTGATGGAAGTCCTTCAGGAGAAGCTTCCTTCTCAATATGGATTTGTTCACTTGTTTCCATGCTTATTTAAAGGACCTGTAAATAAAATATAATTATTAGGTACATAAACATATTATTTTTTTAATTGAAGTTCCATATATTGACAGTGTAAAAATTACTTACACAATAAGGTCACTTAAAAGGAAAGGTAATTACAAGTAATTATATTTAATATTAGTATTGATTGGTAATATAGAACAAAAGGTAAGTGATCTGGTATAACATGCCAAAAGTTCATTACATTATATGTATATAACTTAAATTTTTATTATTATTTTTTTTCTCAAAGATACAAGGAAAGAAACTTCAGGACGCCTATTTTAGACAAATACGGACAAACCAAAGAAGTATCATATGCCTGTTTTAAAGCAGGAACATGGATCATAACGTGGATCATGCACTATACTTATATATATATTATATATACTTGTCCTGAGTAATCAACATCTGCAAAATATGTATTCCATAAAAGAAAAAGAAAAAAAGAAGTTAAGACTCATTCAAGTTCTCTTTAACCAATAGCCTCTTGTGACCTCTCTCTAGAAGTTGGTCCTCTTCCTTTGCACTTTGCAGACATAATAAAAAGATTAAAAAAATAGAAACAAATAGGAAAACAAAGAAACAAATCGATCTATAGCGAGTGCACAAATACTGGCCATGCAATGATTTAACAAGAAGAATATATCTCTATTATACTGTACCAAAAGAAATAAAAAGAAGTTTACAAACATAGCCACACAGCAAGAAGCCAAGGAGATCTTACCTCCTATTTGTTCTGTTGTTTAAATGCAGACAATGCAATCCACTATGGAACTTGAATATCAATACATTCTCTAAGCGGCTACAATAGTTGGATTGATTGAAGAACCAAACTGAAGCAACCTAAATTAAAGATCTGAGTTTTTCTTTTCAGAGGAATTGAAAGACTAGAATGGAGCAATTTGGAACGACCAATGTTTGAGAAAGAAGTATAAATAGCATTAATTAGTCATGCAACGTTCTTGGAAGCAGACATCAGTCACATCGTATGTGTTATATACAGCTGCCATCTATGAATGAAGTTAACAAAACAATATTCCCTTCAACCAAACATAAAAAACATATGAGACAAGAAACATGAATAGTAGTAGTTCAACTTTAATTTTTGCACTAACAGTGTATAATTTTTTGCGCCGGTTAAGTTAACTCACAATTGATAAAGACATATAGTACTCTCTCCGTTTTAATTTAGATGAGGTAGTTTGACTCGGCATGGAATTTAAGAGGAAAAAAAAGACTTTTAATACTTGTGATCTTAAAAGTTTAAGGGGTAAAAGCTTTGTGGGGCTATTATATTTTTATGGTTATAAAAGCTTCTCATTTAGGGTAAAATGAGTAAAATAAATAGTTTAAAGTTGAATTATTTTCAAATTTAAAAATATGTAATTTATTTTGGAAAAATAACTAAAAAGGAAAGTAACTCATCTAATTTGAAACAGATGGAGTAGTAATTTATACGATAGGCGGAAAAATAAAATAACAACCTATTATATATATATATATATATATATATATATAACTTGAATATTTGTCCTCGATTCGCTGGAGAATGGGGTTGACTACAACTATTTGCCTGCTAATAAGTGAAATAGCGTATATAATAAGTAGTCCTACTAAGCATGGAGTTAGGAAAAATTGCTTCAGTGCCAGCATCAAGGTTTTGCACAATTTGTATTAAAAGGAACAGGACGCCACCTTTTCCGAAAAATTACTACAAGATTTACCGGATAGAGGCAAAGATAATTAATACAACTTTGAAACAATTAACTAAAGTCAAACACACATATAGGACGAACCATCACTTCTAATTGCAACTTGCCTATATGAATCATGCCATCTTAACACTAAAATATTAAATAAAATTTCGCTAATCTAAAGAATGACGACAAAGATAACGATTAATGAGAAAATATTACATTTAAAAAATAAAAGAAAGAAAGAGACTGCACCAAGGTTAATACTCCCAACGGAAGCTTTTATTTTATTTTATTATATTATATTATATTTTTGGCAAGAAAAGAATACATCATCTTTATGCAACTTGTTTGAAGATGATAGACTGCGGAGGTTCTTGACAAAGCTAGTTTAGTACGCGTAGGATAACATCAAAGTTCTTATTAATATCATATTAATGAAGATGGATTAACAGAATATAATACAGATTAACGGTATCAATAGCTGACAACAAAAACGACCTGTTACAATTAATATTACAAGATTTTTTCCAGTTCTATAAAAATTATTAAAGAAACAGTGACAGATATTATTATACACATTACACGCCTCTATCAATACCCTAAAACAAATTTGTCAAACTGCATTGAAAACTATAGGTGAGGAAACAAATACCAGAGAATTCAAATTCAAATTGTACAAAAAGATTTAGTCCTTAACTCACAAAAATAGACAAGCTACAAGTAGCTAGATATAAAGCATCAAAGGAATCTATCACCGTCGATTCAGGAAGCTTAGAAACTTAAACACGAAAACAATGGACAACTGTATTCAATTCGTGGGCCAAACATGTAATGTAGAAAGAGAATATATATACACGGAGAGAGTCCCCACACTACAGCAAAGACGGAATAGTACTCCCTCACGTTCTAATTTACGTACTTGGCACGGACTTTAAAAAAAAATGAAGACTTTTGAAATTTGTGGTCCTAAACAAGCCAAAAAGGGGCCCAGAGTATTTGTGTGGTTATAAAAGCTTCTCATTAAGGGTAGAATTGTACGTTTAAGCTAAATTGTTTCCAAATTTAGGAAGCAGTCATTCTTTTTGGAACGGACCAAAAAGGAAATAAGTTTACATAAACTGGAACGGAGAGAGTATTAAATATTGATGAAGTTGATCACCCACCAAGTAACAATATGGTCCCTGACGACTAATGGCACCTTCTCTTGACATGACCAATCGAATTTATAAGGACTTGATCATAATGTATCAAATATCTGGGGTAGTCTTTTTTGTTTAATAGATCTCAGCTTCTATCTTTGTGTTTTAATAGGTGGTCTCAGTTTACTTGTGCATATTTTGATTATTTTATTGGTAAGTATCATCTCTCATCGGTACAACCGTACAAGTATCAAATAACTTTGTGCGCTATGTTTTGATAGACTAGATGAAAGCACATGCTCCTTCTATTCTAGTTTATATGCTACATTTTTCTTACCAGTAGTCTATTTCAAAAAGAATGAAGTACTAGTAATATATTGAAAATAATTTAACTTAGACTTCTATTTTACCTTTAATGATAAGATTTTATGGTTGCGGAAATGTTAAGTCATGTTTAAGATTACATATTTCAAAAGTTTATAACCATAAAAATCTCATCGTATGTATAAGATCATAAATTTCTGAAGTCTTTTTTAAAAATAAAAATTAAAATTATGTGTCGAGTCAAACTATATCACATAAATTAAAATAAATGAAATAAGATATTTTTAATCTATGATGAATTTTAAATCCATGTCTCTTGTGTGAATCACCCTTTTCGTTTACCACTAGATTATAGTCTTGAGCAGATATTTTTCTTAAAAACACCAACAGGACAGTGACATTTGCTTGAGAACGTAATAAAAATATCGCAAGTGCCTAGCCAAAGCAAGAATTAAGAATGAAGACTTCACATTTTTCCACATGAAATAATAAAGGAAATCGTACAAAGCATAAGAAAACACGAAAACATAATCCAACTGGATTTAAGTTGGTGTTGGACTAAACCTAGGACAGCATTTCAGTGCAATTTGTTTACGTAAGACATGAAAAAGCGTGTTCAAACGGGTGCATGTCTAGACAGAGAAAAAGAGAGCAAGTGGGAGTTATAAACTGTAATGCTCGACGACGTACATTGAGTAGGTATAGTGGAAATCAGAGTGTACTCAGTGGAAACTGCAAAGAAAGTGGTGATAAATAGGAGAACACATGTAGGGGTCGTTTGGTTGGGAAACAAGTTATCCTACGATTAATTATCTGGGGATTGTTATCTCATCCTCCTAAAGAAATAAAAATAACACTATAATGCCGGGATAACTAGTCTCAGGTTTAGTTCTACCGTAATTTTATCCCGATCAAACATGGAATAAACTCATCTAAAATTTAATCCCGAAATTAATTATCTCTTATCTCTCGTACCAAACGAACCCGTACTATAATCAACTGGTTAATGAACAACTGAATTATGAGAATAGTCAGAAAGAGTTATCAAATATTTATGTTGGTGAAAAGTAATAGTGATTCAATTCAATAATTGACTCAAACATCATTATTATAAAAGAAAAATAAAACAGAATGCAGCTAAAACCTTATAGATGTGTTATATGAATTCTTCATTCCATACACATGAAATTTTATACTTACATCCTACATTGTTTAAAACACACTAAACTTTTGGTAAAACTTGCCTGTACCGTGCTAAATGCTATTGCACAAAACCTAGATTGGTTTCTAAATTCTTTCTGAGCTAGTCCACTTAACATACTCCATCCGTTTTTCTTTTACTAGTCCCTTATATTAAAATAATTTTTTTACTTATTCATTTTAACAAATCAATAGAGATTTATTATTTTCTTTGATATTACCTTTAATAATTCACACTTCCTAAATTTATTAGAGTTACAACTTTAATAATCATTATAACTAAGATTAATTTAGTAAAACAAACCCTTAATAAATGATATGTTAAAGAGAACGGAGGGAGAAATTAACTTGATAACCTATTTATAGTACGTAGGAAAGAGGAGATGGCTTTGAGAGAGGAGAAAAAGTAGGTCTTTGTCTGAAAAATTTAACAAAGGGAACATATATATGCGATGCTGAAAGAGAATTCCACTAGCTCTATATGTTTATTCAATGACGAATGGCGAGTTGGGCATCGGAATTAGTTGGTCGTAGCCAAAGCAGGAAACTGGATAATCAGTTCAAATCCATCATTTTTGAATCACAAATTCTTTTTAAAAAGTTTGCGTGGATGCACTGGTAAGTGCAATTCTGACTGTGATGCTGTGAATATCCCCATCTTAGACACCAGATAAGTTAAGGACAAAAAAAGTTAGGTGTTGTGTAAGCTAGCAAAGCAGTACTTGAACGACGATAAATCAAACAACAAAAGAGAAATATACATAAAGAGACATAGTTCGGTCAACTGACCTACGTCCACGGCGGAGATGAGCAATCCACTATATAAAAGAGAGTACAAAATATCGAGAGAACAACCTCACGAAGAGGCAAACACAAGTGACGCATTAACACTTGGCCCGTAAAGTTCTCCCTCTAAACACGACTCTCAAACCCATATGGCTACATTGTGGATGCTACTGAATGAGAATGACAGATCTTCAATTTATAGAACTTCAAACCTTTTCCTATAAGAAAAGGGACTAGCCAAATATGGAAGAATTATATTTTTCTTCTAGGAAAAGAAAAACTCAATTATGATAAATATATCGTCCTTTCGTTCATGAGATAGGAAAACCAATTATGGTCAGAAAACTTGGACAATCACCTAACAGATATAGGAATTAGTCCAATCTTTTTTTATAAAATGGTTGCCAAAGAGTTGTGGACCTTGAAGTCTGTGTGGTGCGTGACAGGAAAATACCTACAATATATTAAAGCTGGTCACAACACATGCAGTAGTTGACAAATTTTGCTTTTGTCCACTAAAGACAAATAGAATGCAATTTACCCTTTTGTCTTAATAAGGCGTAAAAGATTATTGCTAAATTTCTTAGAGGAATGCCATTGGCTATTATCAAGATTTTGGATTTCGACTTTGTAGGACAGTTATTTGTGATGTCCAGTGGTTGATCACACGTGGCTATGGGGTAGTGCCTAGCAAATAAAATTTCATTTGAACAGAAAGTGTTTTCAGATCGGATATTTATTTGCAAAGATAACTGAGGGCATAAACACTGAGCTA